GCTTAATTTCATATTGATTAAAATTTAAGTCGAAGTCAATAATTAATTTTAATTATATATTTCATGAAATCCATTCGATCATATATTTTATCAATTTTTATTAAAATCTATTGAAAATCTAATTTTTATCTAAACATAATAATCAAATTGTAAAATCATTATTTTACTTTTAGTCGGTCAAACATGTTCATTGTAGTGGCCCAAAACGTTTTAATGGACTATTAGGGTTCACAACCAGGCCTCGTAAAGTGCACCCAAGCTTTTCAACCCGTTAAGAAGATCCGAAATGAAAGAAATAAATAAATAAAAATTAAAAGTGCAGAATCAATTACGTGCAAATATTATTGCCCTCGCCGTCTCTCTTACATGCCCACAGATGCATCCCCTTTCCCCTTAGATCGATTTCCGATCTTCGAAGAATTCATCAATTCAACTAAATCTAATTGAATTTTTTCATTGATTTGTTTATTTTTTAAATTTATTTTCCTCTGTATTGCGAAGAAATTTTCTGTAATTAATCAAAATGAAGGATGATGATGCGCTACCCATATCAACGCCCACTTCATCATCAGTTGTACCGTCATCTTCAGTTATTTCGAAGAAGGATTACTCTGATTCATCGAGCCTTTTTGGCCGAGGCCGGTACAAGTTTTGGGCATTGGCTGCCATTTTGCTGCTGGCATTCTGGTCAATGCTCACCGGAACCGTCACCCTCCGGTGGTCCGCTGGTAACCTCAACCGCCTGTCCGACGGCCTTGAGCCCCCAGCCAGAGACGACCTTGATGTCCTCGTAAGTTGTAACCCGTTTGCATGTACATCTAGGCTTGATTAGATGTACAAATTCATGTAAATGGCTGTGTGCAATGGAAATCTTATTTGAATGGATTTGTTTTGAATTAGGATATGGAGGAGAGAGAGAAATTGGTGAAGCACATGTGGGATGTGTACACAAATAGCAGGCGAATCAGGTTGCCAAGTTTCTGGCAGGAGGCATTTGTGGCGGCCTATGAGGACTTGACCAGCGAGGTTCCTGAAGTTCGGGAGGCTGCCATTTCGGAGATTGCCGGAATGTCCACTCGCTACCTCGGTGTTGAGCCACCTCCACTCCGATCTTCGTCATCATTGGTAGGTTCTTTTACTTAAATTATATAAATTTCTCGTTTAATGAGATCTAATTGATGTAAATTGAGAATCTTCTTCCCTCGTACATTGGCTTCAAAATTTTATATTTAAT